GTTACATTTACACTTACGCTCATATTTTCCAGACAAAAAGTTAATGGCGCATCTCCGAAATGTCCCGGCGCAACAACGCTTTTATTGGTTCCGCTATCGGGACGGAACCAATAATGGCGAGACATTATTATTTTTTTAAATAATAAAAAAAAATGTGTCAATTTTAATGTTTTATTTAGATTACAAAAATAAATCGGAATAAAAATAATCCAATTTATGATGTTTTAAAAATTAAGACCTACGAAAGACTGATTTAAGACATTTTAATACCAATTAAGGCCCTAGTTTTATATTGAAGAATTCAATGCCTTTTAAGACTTTTTAAGGACCCGCGGGAACCCTGTCATCACATTGCATAATATAACTCTTTCTTTATAAAGTTCTTTCATATTACAACCAAGTCCAACCACGTCCCCCAATACTAAGATAAAAGAGAATAGGAGGCATGATTTTCATTTTGAAAGTATGAAGATAACATTTCACCCATTGAAATAAGGGATGTAAGAGGGATGTAGGCCTACATATGCAGAGACACTTTAAACAAATGAAAGATTCTTAAAATGAATTTTGAAATGCTGCAGAAGCCAATGAAGGGAGGCTGAAACATTTAGCATGTTTTTGCAAAGTCTAAATCAATCCCCTGCATTCTGGATCAACAGCATGTCCTAAACACAGGTCTGGTTGTATCTTAACAAAAGTGCTTTATAAAACTGTATCCGAGAGGTAATCCAAAGCATTAATGAATGTTTCAAGAATACCTTTGGAAAGAACAACGTTGTGTTTGGTAATTGTCTAAACTAAAAATCGCAGATTCATTCAACTGTGTTTACCAGACTGTGGAATTTTAACAAGGGATCCATCTCTACATCCTTTTTTTTTGGTTCCTTTTTACAGAAATTGAAATAGTTCAGAGCCATTGCTCAAATATTTTTTAGGAAGAAAATCCAGGGGTCTCATTTATCACACAAAAAAGGACTCTGAAAATTGTGTACTCCACCTTTTCCACACAAATGTTGTGATCTATAAAATATCAACTTACGGTAGCTAGAAAAATGTACTATCCCTCACTTAAACACATACCCCTCTTTATGAGGACGTGGATTTTTGAAACAGGGCAACACAGCTGTTGACTGAGGTCGGGAACTGAAGCCAGATTGCATCATAATTACTCTTTAAATGTAGATTGACTTAATCAGAACCAAAACCACTGTGTTAAATGCTTGCAGTGGTGGGTCATAACTAAATAAAGTCTATAAGTGTTTGCAATATTTTAATGTTTGTTACGCAATCATAATTCTCTTCCCAGAGTTGTACCATAGATCAGGTGTGAGTCACTTGTAGTAATTGTTGTAAACATTTAAATATTGCTGTGACACCCAGGTGTAATGATGTACGATGGATGCATTGAAGCTGCTGGAAGAAAATTCCTCTAAAACTACTACATATAAAAGACTTTTACTAGTTTACTCTTTGAGAAAACTGCGAACTGCCTCACTGTATGCTTGTTGGAGGGGAGTTCTTGGATTGCGCACCATCATTGGACCTGGCAACCTGAAAACATAAAGAAAAGCCGTTACTACATGTGGCGGTTCGACATTAGCAACATTGTTTTTGTTATATTTCTTTATAGAAGCAAGCAGCAGGTTCAATTGTCAATGTTGAATCTTATGGTTAAAAACTTTCTCCACTGAAAAAGACCAAAATATGGCGCACTATCATTACTGCAGAGAGGGCCGGTTCCTCATCCTACCATCACTCATTAAAAGAAAAAGATGCTTTAACACTCTTGAAGCAGAGACTGAAGCAGCAACTCTCCTTTAGCTAGGACATAGGCGTCCTTTCTTGCAGACCCCACTGTTTGCAAGGACGGATGTCTATACTACTGTTCAAAAGTTTGGGGTCACATTGAAATGTCCTTATTTTTGAAGGAAAGGCACTGTATTTTTCAATGAAGATAACTTTAAACTAGTCTTAACTTTAAAGAAATACACTCTATACATTGTTAATGTGGTAAATGACTATTCTAGCTGCAAATGTCTGGTTTTTGGTGCAATATCTACATAGGTGTATAGAGCCCCAGCGACTATTACTCCAGTGTTCTAATTGTACAATGTGTTTGCTCATTGATGTAGAAGGCTAATTGATGATTAGAAAACCCTTGTGCAAATAT